AAAATAAAATCCGTAAAGTTTGTTTTATTAAATGTGTAGTATTCGTGTAATAAATCAGTCAAAAATCATTGAATTCTAAATACTGCGTACAGGTAAGTTGCTCATTTATAGGAATTGGTGTTAATGGTGCTTGTAGGTTTTCTTGAAGTACGCAGATATTTTCGTCTTCTGGTTGTAGTTGGTTATGCTTTTTCCGTTCTGTCTTTTTTTTATTGCCTCTAAAATATAATATGGTCGATTTCTAATTTTATACCTAATTGGGAGTTTTGCTGCCTTTTTAATTGCCTGAAAATATTATAAAGTGAGTAATAATACTGTTTGTACTATTTATTATATTTATATTATTTGTGTAGTTACTTCTTGAGCTCTTGCAAATGAGCCCAAACACGATGGTGTTTAGTAGTGGCATAACTGAGATATTTTACCCCACCTTCTTTGTTCACCATCATGAAGGTAATATAATCACATTAAACTAGGTCTTTATAAACCCCTTCAAATGAGTTCAAACACGATTGTTCTACCTAGTGCCACCACTGAGATCCTAAACCCACCTTCGCATTGCACCATCAGAAAGGTGAGGTCATAACAGTCACCTAAGTCTTTATGAGCCCTTTCAAATGAGTTCAAACACGACCCTTCTATCTAGTACCGCCACCACCGATCCTATACCCACCTTCGGATTGCACCATCAAAAAGGTGAGGTCATAACAGTCACCTAAGTCTTTATGAGCCCTTTCAAATGAGTTCAAACACGATCGTTCTACCTAGTGCCACCACTGAGATCCTATACCCACCTTCGCATTGCACCATCAGAAAGGTGAGGTCATAACAGTCACCTAAGTCTTTATGAGCCCTTTCAAATGAGTTCAAACACGACCCTTCTATCTAGTGCCGCCACCACCGATCCTATACCCACCTTCGGATTGCACCATCAAAAAGGTAAGGTCATAACAGTCACCTAGGTCTTTATGAGCCCATTCAAATGAGTTCAAACGCGGTCTTTCTATCTAGTGTCGTGACTGATATCCTATACCCACCTTCGGATTGCACCAACATAAAGGTGATATCATCACAGTCATCTAGGTCTCCATTTACCTATTTGAAAATGAGTCCAAACACGATGGTTCTACGTAGTAGCATCACTGAGATCCTTTACCCACCATCTGAGTCCACCATAAGGAAGGTGACATCATTACCATCACCTTGGTCTCCATCCTCTGTCAAACCTGTTTCTCTAAATATATATGACGGCTCCGTGGCGCAGTGGCTTAGCAATGAATCCTTGTGCAATTTGTGTTTGTAAACTGCCTCCACGACACAGGAGAAAATCCTAGTATGGGGGTAACGTTTTTTTTTAATAAAACAAATATATAAAATAATATAAAATCTTAACCTGGTACCGACTTTGTTATATGGCAGCGAAACCTGGGTATGCCAGAAGAAGCATAAAAGTAAGTTGAATGCAGTGGAGATGCGATCTCTTCGTAAAATGTGCGGCGTTACCATGGCCGACCGAAAGCGAAACGAAGAGATTCGCAATATGGCAGGTTTGAAAGATGACCTTATCACAGAAATTGATAAAGGCGTGCTTCGGTGGTTTGGGCACGTTGAGCGAATGAGTGAAGACCGAATGGTGAAGAAAATATATAGCGCGAAAGTTAATATTAAAAGGTGTCGAGGTAGACCGAGACTAACTTTCGAAGACCATGTGAGCAAATTGCTCGAAGAGGGTAGGGTCAAAAGTACTCGGATACCTAGACGTGCATGCATGAAGAAGATAATGAATCTGAAAGAAGCGAAAGAGGTTTGTAAGGATCGTGACACTTGGCGATCTGTTCTCTCTGGCTACCCCGTCAGGGATTGTGCGTGAAGATAAGTAAGTAAGTATAAAATCTTAAAACATGTTATAAAAAATTATAAAATATATATAAAAGCTTTTTTTTTCTTTTTTTTTATAGGATAGGGTGACAAACGAGCACACAGTCCACCTGATGGTAAGCGGTTGCTGTGGCCCATAGACATCTACATTTATCCTCGTATGCGAATCAAAATGTAGATGCGTTGTCACCCGTGAGGACTAGGATGGAATGCCTCATTTCCAGTAAAAAGGGCCTCCGGCCACCTGCACTCACCAAGCGAAACGCAGAGGTAAACCTCTCCTTTACGCTGGTATTCTGTGAGGTCGTGGTACCACCCCGGTTCGAGCCGGCCCATCCGTGCGACAGCAAAAGCTGCCGCCTGGCTCTACCACTGTCTAAAAGTATTAAGTACTAAGAAAGTATGTACTTACCAATAATGGAAACGAACTGAAGCCAGCGGATTACGGTGCGCCCGGAAAAATACTTGGGTTGCCGTCAGTTCAAAATTTTAACTTAAGATTTCACATTCACGATCAGTTTTTGGATGTACGTCAGTTCAACGGAGCAGTTTAACTGACAGCACGCCCTAATAAAATCCGTGTGTTACCTTCAGTTAAAAATTTCAACTTAAGATTTCACATTCACGGTCAGTTTTTGGATGTAGTTTTTGATGTCAGTTTAACAGACCGTGAGTGGGGACCATAACAAATACTATGTACAACTCGTTAGGTTTCTTCACACAGGTACATACTACTCGCAGATATCGTTCACTAATACTCGCTTTCAAAATTAGTGCTCATTACAGCTAATGTTTGTAAATGAATCTATAAAAACAGTATCATTTATAATCATCTTATCGTATATTTCTTAAGAGGGATGTTATCTTTTGTTACATAATTGTGGCAGATTTAAGTCCACGGATGTAATAGCAGTTTTAACATTTGACTCGGATTTGCAATATTTCCCACAAATATGTTTTAACACGTGAAGCTTTTTTATTGGTACATGTGCCAGGCTTTCATTCGCAACGAATTTTCAATCTGAAGAAATAATATAAATAAAATCACATTTTTAAATTTTTTATTTAAAAATGTGATTTTATTATATATTTTATAATATATTAACAAATAGATAGAACGTAAAAAATCCCGACTGATAATATAGTTTCTAATTACCACCTATTACCACAAATAAATTAGTACTTCGTTGGTACACCACAAGTCGTAAGCGTGACTGCTAATCCTGTTGTGGTCACGTGCTTAAGTCCCGGATCGGCCCTAAATCAATGTTTTGATTTTACTGACAAGAAATTCTCAGAAACATCCTGGAGTCAGGATGCTGGCGGTGTTACACTCCCGTGTCACGTAAAACTGTTGGTCCTACGCTTGGTCTTTCTCTGTTCGTTTCGGATTGCCATCCCATAAAACTGTCAGAGTAAGGAAATAGAGTGTGTTTGTATTTGCGCCACAGTCGTACACTATAAAAAACTGTCCTAGGTAGATGGCCAGTAATACTGGCGACCGTGATCGAGTCGATTTGGAAGACATTACTACAAATAAAGGTCCAAAAATTTATTCGCGTTAAATATCATATTACAATTAAATTTAAAATCACCACATACCTTTCATCATCTAAGGTAAATTTTACTTTGATTAGCCTTTTCTTGTATTTCTTTTTTTCGCTCTTAACGACATTTAATTGGCAAATTTTATAATACCTACATATTTGATTTTTTTAACAATTCTATAAAAGAATAACAACTCCTTTAGCAAAATTAAAAGCAATCTAAATAAATAAAATAAATACAAATTGAACCTATTTGATTTGACAATATCATTGATAGACATATTACGAAAAGTAGAAAGTAGGGATAACCACCATTAAAATTTGGTCCAGTTTCGTGCATATAATTTTTAGTATGGAAGTTCCACCAGCCTTAAATAACTCTGTCACTCTGTCTGGTTTCTGCGTCACTGTTATTTAGGACAGAATAGGTACTTCTTAGTTTTCACCTCTTGGTAGAGTACATACATATCATCATCATCATTACAGCCCATCACAAGTCCACTGCTGAACACTGCCTCCAATAAACACGGCGCAGTGGCTTAGTAATGAGTTGCAGTGCTGGGAGCCGCGGGTTCGAATCCCGCACGGAAGAAGTATTTGTATATGCCTACAAATGATTGTTCCGGGTCTCGATGTTTGTCTTTGTGCAATTTATGTTTGTAAACTGCTCCCACGGTACAGGAGAAAATCCTAGTGTGGGGGTAACATTTTTTAAAAAATATATAAAAAGAAAAAGAAAAAAGCTTACTAATCCGTTGGGTTATGTCAGTTAGTTAGTTAGTACAGTTTCTGTACGTGGCGGAGCCATGCTTCAGATATATTAGTAGTATAGTTGTAGCACGAAAGGGTCGGCTCGACCGAGGAAGGACCACGCTCTCACAGAATACCAGCGTCAAATAGCAGCTTAACACTGTTGTGTTTCGTATGGTGAGTGTAGAGAACCGGAGACCCTTTTTACTGGAAAAGAGGCATTCCATCTTAGTCCTCACGGGTGACAACGCATCTGCATTTTGATTCGCAAACGAGGATAGATGTAGATGTCTATGGGCCACAGCAACCACTTACCATCAGGTGGACTGTGTGCTCGTTTGTCACCCTATCCTATAAAAAAGTCACTCTGATTCTACTGCGGATAACCTCGTTTTTAACTATGTATGTATGTAATTACTGTAAGGTAAGATCAAAGAGAATAATAAGTTGGGTAAGATATTAATAGTGTTCTGTGGTCCTCAGTCTTTGCTTCTCTGTCAACTGTCATTATGTCAGCTGTCATCTTTCAGTCAGTTTGTCAAATGTCAAAGTCAACAGCCTTTTTGTTATCAATCGTAAATTTTTGTTAAGGTCATAGATTACTGTATATCGTAGTGTTTCGTACATGTGTTCTGTCATTGTTTCTATATAGTTTGTGCTGTATATATACTAGAGAGTTATGGTAATTAGCATTTGAAACAAAGTAGGCGATTAGGCTAAAATAAAGTATAAATAGGCTGTGTTATTTGCAAAAAATAAATAAAGTGCAAAACAAAAATTACATTTGGCAGTTGTAATGTTAAGTGTAAACACACATGAGGAGCGATGTCGTATGAAATAGTGATCAGGCGAGCGCGAGCAGAGGATGCTGTTCAACGTGCAGAGCTCATTAAGCTCGGACTACTTTCGCACCAGTGGAACGCCTTCATTTACTTCTTGTTTCAAGAGGTGAAGTCTTATGCTAATCACATGTGTATGATACTTAGTCACGTAATAAATTGTAATGTTAATTTTTGATATTTTTTCAGTATTTTGTTAGGCACAAGAATAAACATTAAATCCTATATTAAATATAATATAGGATTTTATGTCTAAGAGTAGAAGCTAGTCCTGTCTAATATGCAGATGTACAAAGTTTACAACATTAGGAAATAATATAAAGTAGTAATTAAAGAATGATCTCTATTTCTCCTCACTGAGCTATTTATTAAACTTTGGTGAATTGAAGATTAAAGATCTGGTTTGTTGTTCCACATACCCTCAGCCATTTACTTCAGATGTTTACAATTTACATTGCTGTTAGATAGCAGCAGGAGTTGTGACAACAAGTCACAATTGATGGCTCCGTGGTGCAGTGGCTTAGCAATCAATTGCTGCGCTGGGGGCCGCGGATTCGAATCCCACAAGGAACAAGTATTTGTATGGCCTACAAATAATTGTTCCAGGTGTGGATGTTTGTTCTTGTGCAATTTATGTTTGTAAACTGCCTCCACGACACAGAAGAAAATCCTAGTGTGGGGGTAACGTTTTTTTAAAAAAACAAAACAAAAAAAACAATATTTGACCATATACATTTTCTAGTCAATATACCTACTGCAGGCGAATGATACATGAATATTAAATAGATGACGAAGATTAACAAATGGATCAATTATCTGTAAGAATGTTCACAGTAATCTATAAATCAACTATTGCATTGTTGTGTATGGTTGTGCTCACAACTTGCGCAGCTAATTGCATTCTTCAATTGTTATGGTATCAGTGGTGGATTATCCTTAAGGCAAACTAGGCATGTACCTAAAAATGCAAGGTTACAAAGGGGTGTGCACGGAAATTTTTAAACAAAATAAAATAAGAAAATTATACTTTCTATAGAGACGTAGAGGTTCCAAAGCATGTCCCGTCTACTTGATTACTCCTCATAGTCCCCACTCTCTTATCACATTTTTCATTCACGCCCACCTGCTAAGTCTTAATTATTTTCCAACTTAACTTTATTATAAATTATAACGTAATTGATTTGCAAAATAAGTAGTTATAATTTTTATTATATAGCCACCAGAGGGACACAATGAGTTGCTAGCCTCCAGAGCTATCGATATTTAATCTGCCTCTGTATAACATGGTTATATAACATTGTTAATGCTTATGCTGTAGTTTATTGATCTATTATGTTATAATAAATGAGTAACTCTGTATTTATCTAGTGTCCTTGTCATAATATTATATAAACACTGCAATTGTAGCTATGGCCTAATATAACTAGAAATATGTCATACCATAATATTATTGGTTGCCATTCTTGTCACTTTCTACCGACTTCAAAAAGGAGACGGTACTCAATTTGACTGTATGTTATTTTTTATATGTGTTACCTCTTAACTTTTTACTGGGTGAACCGATTTTGATGATTTTTAAAAGCTGGTGCTTCTCATGTGGTCCCATATGAATTTGATCAAGGTCTGACCAATAGTTCTTGAGTTATTCTTAATAATTTATGTTGAAGTTGGTTGTACAAAATTTTTAATTTTAAATTATACCTACAGTGCTTTGGCCACATTGTCACCACCAAGTCCTTTCCCTTTAAAAGCCTCAAGGCAAGATTTGACAGACCAAGGAATGGCAGAATTATTGTGACCTAACCACAATATCAATGGCCAAAAAAAAAAAGTAACATGCAATCATGTTCAAGCAGTATTAAGTAGTGAGTCTTAATTGCTGCTGTAATTGTGTCTGTTGTAGTAGTATTTTAGTACAATCAAAGAAAGTGATGTTGTAGAGAGGCAGTCCCAAAAAAATTATAATTTATAGTTTTAAGAGTATTCTCCATATACAATTTTTTGGAATTCTTAATTCTTACACAGATTTTATGACATCACCAGGCTTAGCTTTCAATTGACGTCCGTTGAGTTGGAGGTTGATATTTTTTTTTTACAGAAAGGTTACATTATTATAAGCACACACGCAAAGTTTCAACATTCGGAGACACATACTTTTTGAGAAAAAAAAATATTGAAAATCAACTATTTTTGCAATATTTATGTCAATTCCTGCCGTAAAACTGACGCTATTTTGTATTGTCATTGGCATTGTCTAACTGTAACCTTTCTGTAAAAAAAATATCAACCCTTAACTCGACGGACGTCAATGGAAAGCTAAGCCTGGTGATGTTTTGGAGATGTACCCATCACCAAACAAATATATTTGGTTTGGAGTGTTATAAGGGCTATTTCTGCACTTATGGGCTGACTTCATGATTCTCATAGTGTATTATAATAAGGCATTCCATCTTAGACCTCCTAGTTAACATGGCATCTATATTTTGTATCTTAATTGGGGATATGTCTAGAAGTCTTTGGCTACAACATCCAATTAACAACAGGTGATGTGTAAAAAACACATCACTAATTGAATAGTAACTTAAAAAAACTATACAATAGAATAAATTTACAATCACGACTGGTTCACAAGTATGAGCCATGTGGCAGCAATCATCTTTCTCAACCATATTGAAAGAAAGTTGACAATCCGACACATAATGATGCTTCAAGCAGTAATCTTTAAATGGACATGATATACCCTGGTTCCCTACAGACTGAGATAATCACTCCAAAATACACAGAAATAAATCCACAGTCAACTGAACACATTTCTAATCTCCCATAGCACAACTTATAATTTTCTTTCACACTGACACAATCACATTGATTCAGGGTCACCAATTTTGAAGTCTTCAATTTGCTAGTTAGGTTTTGTAAGTAGGCTGACAACAATTCTTTAATATAATAAAAATCTGTTATCTGTTTTATTACATTGTTTTTATTATGCTCATCAAAGATAATAAACATAGATATAAGTTCTTGAAAAAAAAAATTAAGCTACACCTCGTATGTACAGTAATACTTCTGTAACTCCTGTAACCTGACTCTGTAACTCTAACAAAGTTCATCAAGAATAGTCTGTTATAGATAAGTCATAAAAATGTTAAAATTAATTAGCTAAGATGTGCGTAATAAAATAAAATAATGTGTCTTAGTTTGAAGAGCACCTCCCGCCCCCCCCTCCCCCCCTGAGTGGCATGCATTATCCCCGTGACCACTAATCCCAATACTGTTACTCCTAACACTACTCTACTAGGAAAGCTAAGGATCCTTAAAGGTCAGCCACTGCAGTGTATTTTATCTGAGGATGCCTTGTTGTAAACATGTATTGTATTAATGGCTAGGGATGCCCTAAACGGAAATATATCAACAAAATTGTGATAAATTGAATATTGATAATTGAATTATGTTAATGGCAGAATTCGTAAGCTTATTTGGATATATAAAATACTGTGTTACATCATAACGACTAAGTTGATAAATTAAACTTATACATACAAAGAGGACAACAATACCTTCTTAAAGTTATGTATTTTAAGCCTATTAGATTTTATTTATTTATTTGTTTATTTATTTAGGCTTACCAACTAAACACATACAAAACATTATTATTAAACATTTGCAGGTATAAACAAAATTATACTATATATGTATTTAACTTAAAGGTATGCACAACATTTCAACATGAAACTTAAAATTAGTTATGAAATTAACAGATAATAAAATATGATATAAACACAAAGACTATTTTATGCAATTAAAACAGGTAAAATTATAATTTGGTAGAGAGCTTAACATTGTATAATTTAAAGTTGTATAATTTAAAGTTTTAATTTTCAGTTTGAGTGTAGTATAGAAATATTTTCTTTTTTAAGGAACCCAGACTATCACTAAAGAGATCTATATTACATTTACCGAATATATCATTGTATTTTCTCATCATAGAACATAGAGGAGAGTTGTTACCATAATTTTTGCTATTGAAATTTACACTAAAGGGACTAAAATTACACAACCTTCCTGAAATTCTGGGCACCTTCAAGTTAATTTGTGATAGGAGGGATGGACAATCCACTTTATTATTAAGTAATTTATGTAAAAGGCTTATAGATAGCAAATTCTTTCGCTGCTCCAATGATAAAATTTCGAAATGCGCTAATCTTTCAGAGTATCTGCGAATTGTACGATGAACGCCACTTACATAAGATATTTTATTTAAAAATCTTTTTTGGATTTTTTCTATACGCTGAATATTGTTTTGATAAGACGGGTACCATACGACTGAACAATAATCAACATGACTGCGAACCAGTGCAAAATAGAGAACTTTTAACGCTAAAACCGACTTAAAATCTTTGGTGTTTCTGAAAATAAAAGCTAACATTCTTAATGATTTGTGTATGGTATTGTTAATGTGGTTAGTAAATCGCATCTGAGTGTCAATAGCAATGCCTAAGTCCTTCACTTCATCTACTTTCGCTAAATCTACACCATTTATATTGTAACTACTATTATATTTGTTAAATTTTCGAGAGAATTTAATGTGATAGCATTTATTTGTATTGAGAGACATTTTATTTTGCCGGCACCATTCTGTAATTCTATCTATATCCTCTTGAAGTTGAATTTGGTCTGTGTCATTATTCACAATTTTGGATATCTTTAGGTCATCTGCGTATAATTCAAATTCGGAGTTACGGATACAGTGCTTAATATCATCGATAAACATAATAAAAAGTAATGGGCCAAGGTGCGAGCCTTGTGGAACTCCAGACGTTGGGATAATTTCTCTAGAAACAAAACCGCTAATGACTACTCTTTGTGTTCGATCTGTGAGATATGAAGCAAACCAATCTAATAAGCATCCATGTATGCCAAATAATGTGTGCAGTTTGTTGATTAGAACTGAATGATTTACTGTATCAAACGCTTTACTAAAGTCATTATAAATACAATCTACTTCATTCCCTGAGCTCATTCTAGTAAGTGTTCTGTCAACAAATGTAATAATATTGGATGTAGTAGAGCGATTTTTAAAAAATCCGTGTTGTTGATCAGCTATAATATGTTTTATATGCCAAGTCAAATAAGGACAAATTAACGATTCAAAAACTTTACCTAAAACTGGAAGAATACTAATAGATCTGTAGTTGCAGATATTACTTTTATCGCCTGATTTATGTAATGTGATTTAACACCAAACAACTTATATCTGAGGTTCTTACGGTTAGGCAACTCAAATCTTACAGACAATTTTAAAAACACATACTAACTTACCATATGATCCATAAAAGACATCTATACTAGACATGGAACGAGTAGTGATTCGCCGAGTACTCGGCCACCGGGTACTTGGCCTAGATTGGGCCGAGTACTCTGCCGAATACTCGGCTTTATAAAAAACGCGGTAGCGGACGGCGTGTGGTTATTTCTCTTACACAGAGTTAGAGATGGAACGATACGAGTAAATACAAGTATTTACTCGATACTTTTCTTTCTATACCAAGTACTTTGGGTATCGATACTTTAAAACTTAGTGCCAAGTAGTATCGAAAGAAAAGTACTTGTATCGGTACTCGATCAGTCATACACCTACGGACACTGTTGATGAGTGATTACTGATTACTTGTCAAATGAGACAACATGATTTTATGTTCGAGAGATAGTTTTCGTTATCTGGCGCGAAAATGACTGCTTATAGAAATCGTTTTATCGGAAAACATCTAGAAAAATTATTGATCTTCCTCTTTTAAATTTTAAATATTAGTAATAATCATATCAAACCGCACTCAACGTATAAAGATAGTAAAATATTATAAGTAAGGATTTACCTGTTACCTATGGTGTACCGCAGGGAAGTATTGTAGGTCCTATCCTCTTTCTTGTCTACATAAATGACCTATGTAAATTACAGATACCAAATGGTCAAATTACATCATTTGCAGATAACACTGCTCTAGTTTTTAGCGCTGACAATTATGAAGATCTGTTCCGCTATGGACAAAACGGTTTTAACTTAGTTACTCAATGGTTACATGATAATGTTCTAACATTAAATGTTGATAAAACCAAGTATCTAATATTTAATAAGAAAGGAAATATACCAACTATTAATCTTTCAATTACTTCTCATAATTGTTCTGTCCTAAGTGAGAAGGAAAACTGTAACTGTCCAAAATTGCCGTCCGTTAATAGTATTAAATATTTAGGAATTTACTTAGATAATAACCTAAGCTTTAACAGTCATATAGATGTGCTTACTAGTAGAACTCGTAAATTAATGTATATATTTAAGAGGTTACGCAACGTAGCTAATTCAAACATTATTAGAATGTTTTGTTTAACACTATGCCAATCCATATTAATTTACGGAATCACAATTTGGGGAGGAACATCCAAATCTATTCTCATAAAACTGGAAAGAGCTCAACGCGCTCTACTCAAAACATCACGTTCCCTTCCGTACCCATTTCCAACGCGGGATCTATATAAAAAATGTCGAGTCACGATTCGACAGCTTTATATTTTATACACCGTAAACAGGCAACATTCTCTATTACCTTATGATTCATCAATATTAAAAGGAAAAATACGTAAGGATGCTATATGTAAAATAAAACCTCATTCGAGCTTCGCAAAAAAATCTTTTACTTTCTTGGGAGGTTATTTATATAATAAACTTAATAAAATTTTAAATCTCTTCCCACAAACAAAAAACTCTTGTAAAAGAAATGTCTCCAAATGGTTGGAGACGCTGGATTATGATATGACAGAAAACTTGCTAAGTGTTAATTGCTAATTCTTATAATGTTAAGTGTTTCGGTTTGTGGTTTAAGATCCTTATAATCTGATAACTGATCCCAAGTCATTGGCGTAGGGTAAACAGAACACACACACACACGCGCACACACACACACACACACACACACACACACACACACACACCGCGCGCGCGCAATTATTGCATTCTTTCTCTCTTATTTGTATTTCCATACTACAAAGATTGTATTTATCCAAATGGTGGAGGCCTGGTGATCCATAATACAGGTTTGTACCTAGTTTGGACACCAGTCCCCCGCACAACATTTGTATATTTTTTTAAGCTGTGTGCAATCAAATTGTGGGAAATAAATAAATCTATTAATAATCTATTATTATTATTAGAATTAAATAATAATTTCTATTATAGATTCATATATGTACGTTCTAAATATTTCTGCTGCTTCTCATGTTCCTGATGTTTTAATGTGTGTAATATAATAATAATGATAAAAACTGGCTTTTTGTTTATATTTTTCTCTTTAAGGCCGAGTACTCGGTACTCGGCCGAACCCTAAAAAAAGGCCGAATCCGCCGAATACCGAATCCAAACCGAGTACTCGTCCCATGTCTAATCTATACATATATTCCTTAAATATATAAATGTTTATTAGAATAGAATAGTATTAAATAAAAAAACATAAAAATAATAGATATCCTAACGCGCACACGCACATACGCACACATGCACAAACACACACACGCCCACACACAAACACACGCTCACACACACACTCACACGCACACACACATACACACCTACACACACACACACACACACACACACCCGCACACACACACAGGCACACGCATACGTAGGGAAATCTTTAGTCTCTGCATATCCCTGTGGGTGACGGGTGTGAGTGTTTTTTATATACATATACGTTATTTTTATCATTTTTAAAAGGAAACCTATTGCTTTTTGTGCTGGATAATATTGCTATTTGTTTGTGGTGACAGTGTAACACGTGAGGTGTTTGTACCGGCAGCTGACTCTGGAGGGGGCGGTGCTGGCGGGCGCGGTGCTGTTCATTTTCTGCGGCGCGTCGCCCGCCGCCTGCGCCGCGCTGCTGCCGGCCGCCGCCGCGCTCGTCGTGCTCGCCGTCTCGCTCGCACACCACGCGCTCGCCTCCTCGCACACGCAGGTCACCACCTCCTCCATCATTTTAACTTCTTCAAAATGTGTACTTTATCATTTAAAATAGAGATATTACGTTAATGTAAATTGGTCAAACTGTGTAATAATTTATAATTATAGGGTATTTATATAGTTTTCTCATCTGCTTGGCATATCTTTATATATAAAAATTACGTGTCACATTGTTTGTCCGCGATGAACTCCTAAACTACGAAACTGATTGCAATGAAATTTTGTACACTGTGTGCAGTTTGGTCCAACTTGAGAGATAGGATAGTTTTTATCCCTATAAGTGACCCTCAATATTTTTTATTCCGAATTTAAGGATTTTTTTATATGAAGGGTCGTCGAAAAGGGCAGAACAACGTCTGCCTGGCCAGCTAGTATAAATATATAAATGAAAATTATGAATATCACAGAAACACACAAATAGTCACGCCTGTCACCCAGAGAGGTAGGCAGATACTAAGGAATTCCATTTTGCGCGATTCTGACACATCTCTCTCGCCTCCTTTACATCCATATATCTACGCATACACGCTCGTCGGTTAAGCTATTTAGTCAGTGGTAATAATTACTATTACCACTGACTAAATAGATAGTGGTAATAATAACTAATTTAGTCAGTGGTTTAGTAGTAACTATTTCTACAACTCTGTTGGCAACAAATTGTTTCCATCTATTAGGTGCACCAGACAACTACGACAGAACTATCGACGAGTCTGTCCACGCGTATATTTGAGCTGATGGTATTCTCATTGCCAGGCTGATTTGTTTAAGAAGTTTGGAGAGTAGAACAGCTCCGCAAAGCTCTAAGCGTAGCAAAGTCACGGTTTTCAAAGGGGCCACTCTTGTTCTCGCTGCAATGAGTGCTGTCTTTATAGTACCGTCGAGTTTCACAACTCTGCAATATACGGCTGCACCATAAGCTCGTGATGATGCGTCGCAAAAACCGTGAAATTCTATCTGTTGTTTGTTACAGTTCATTGTTTGCAACCATCTTGGTATGGATACTTCGTTGATGCGCTGGAAGTCTGCTCGTAATGTCAACCATTCTCTTTCAAGGATGGAGCTTATTTTGTCATCCCATGCAACTCCTTCCAGCCATAATTTTTGTACAAACATTTTCGCCATGATGACACTCGGTGCAATCCATCCCAAAGGATCGTATATTTTTTGGATGTCTGATAGGACTGTTCTTTTTGTGACAATTGAAAATTTTTCAGGGAGATGAAAGTTATAGCAAAATTCATCAGTGGCTAGGTTCCAAAGAATACCTAAGGCCTAAATTTTTCCATCCATTTTGAGATCTATGTGTGCTTTGGAAGATCTTTCATTTGGTTCTATTGACTTCATGAATTCGACACTGTTGGAAGACCATTTTTTGAGTTCGATGCAAACACTTTTAAGTAGAGATTTTAGCTGTTGACTGATTTTTATGACTTATTCTACTGTATCGCCACCCGATAAAACGTCGTCTACGTAAAAATCTTCTCGAAGGATCTGAGCAGCTTCTGGATATTTATCTCCATCGTCAAATGCCAGCTGCGTTAGCATTCTTACTGCCAGATAAGGTGCTGACGTTGTTCCGAAGGTAACTGTAAGTAACCGGTAATCTTTAACTTCTTGCGAAGTGTCACTTCTCCATAATATTCTCTGGTAATCTCTGTCATCCTTGGTTACTAATATCATTCTATACATTTTCTGAATGTCTGATGTAAAGCAAAAACAGAGTAATCGCCATCGCATGATTATGCTTCGAAAATCTTCTTGAATGTCCGGTCCCCTTAACAGTTCGTCGTTTAGTGAAATTCCATTAGATCCCTTGTCGTGAAGCGACAATTAAGAACAAAAAAGAACCTAACCTAGTAACAGCAAAACAACAAAAATAGAACAAAAACAAATAATATATTTAAGATTTAAAAGATATTTACAATTTTATATAACAAAATGGAGTATGAAGATGAGGATGGATGTCGTGATTTACAAATTATTTAAAAAAAAGTAATAAAAAAAAAAAGATTACTGTCGAAGCTGAGCCCGAAGATCCAAGGTGTACAGCAAGTGCTCTCAGCGCCTGGAACGAGCACGCACGGCGTAGGTGAGAAGGCGTGGGCGTCTCTAGGTGACGACCTCAGGTGAATGCGGTGGTTTGCAAGATCCGGCGATTTCAGGCAAGACAGGGGCTTGCAGGATCCTCAGCGACTTCAGACAGGACAGAGGCCTGCAGGATCCGGTGACTTCAGGTGGGACAGAGGTTTACAGGATCCGGCGACTTCAGGCAGAGCAGAGACTTGTAGGATCCCGGCGACTTCAGGCAGAGCAAAGGCTTGTAGGATCTGGCGACTTCAGGCAGAGCAGAGGTTTGCAGGGTCCAGCGGCTTCAGGCAGGACAGAGGCTTGCAGGATCCCGGGGCAGTGCGGCCCCGGGATAAGGCCTTTAGGAGATGCTTCGAATTCGAGAACTGAAGCGAGACTGAATTTCTTCACCGATTGTTCGGCTTTTATACCTTTCTAGAGAGAACGGAAAAATTATTTAAATTAAACGCAAATTTTTTGTAAATGGCCAAGAGGAAAGAGTATTTATGTGGAATTATCGAAGTAGAAACAACAGACCGGTAGCAAATTTGAATATAATTGTCATGACAACCAGATAAACAACGATGTCAAAACATGTCAAATTTTGGTTTTAGGCTCGTAATAGAAAAACGGCAAGATTTAAGTGGAAAATGAGATATTATTGATATAGGAAAAAAGGTAGCGCACCTGCGCGCACAAAGTCCGAAATTGCAGAGTTACGGAAAACTAAATAAAAGATCGAAAAAGGTAGACTCCATTGACACCAATTTAAAAGTGCTGATAATGTGAAAATACGAAGTAGAAATGATTTGTTATTGTGTTCTTATGGTTTAAAATCGTTACAGGATCCTATGGAAATAAAGGTGATGTAAAATATCCAGTTTTGAGGTGAATGCAGAAAATCGAAACAGAATGGAAAAATGAATTTAAAATAATGTAAAATGATATGTAAATAGCATAACACTACATTTTCCCCCCGACCCTGGAAAATTTTGACTCAGCAAAATTTTTTATATACATTCTAAAATAAACCATAAAAACACAGCTTTGCAGAAACAGACATCACCAGGCAAAATCAGATATACTATCTCTTACATTCATCATCTGCATTCAGGTAAGGGTGGAGTTCACATTCAATGACTACCACTCTAAAAGTGTGTTTTCGAAAGGACATTCAGGCTTATTTAAGGAGTAGTCATCCGCTCCTGCGTGGAAAAAAAAAATTATTAAGGGAGTAGTCAGCCGCTCCCAAGTGAAGATAAAGATAAAGAAATATATTTTTTTTTTTATTTTATAGGATAAGGGTGACAAACGAGCACACAGTCCACGTGATGGTAAGTGGTTGCTGCGGCCCATAGACATCTACATCTATCCTCTGTTACGAATCAAAATGTAGATGCGTTGTCACCCGTGAGGACTGAGATGGAACGCCTCATTTCCAGTAAAAAGGGCCTCCGGCCACCTGCACTCACCAAGCGAAACGCAGAGGTAAACCTCTACTTCACGCTGGTATTCTGTGAGGTCGTGGTACCACCCCGGTTTGAGCCGGCCCATCCGTGCGACAGAAAAAGCTGCCGCGTGACTCTACCACTATCTTAAGTAAGCTTTAGTCGCTATGACTTAAGTAAAGATTAAGAACGGCCAGAGCGGTAGGGCTCAAAGCCAGAGATCAGCAACATCACCAACGAGATGTGTCTGAAATAAAAATAAAAAGTGAAGATTAACCAACGAAAATTCGAGGTCCTAAAGCAAGATGTGTTGAAGAACACTGGATCACCAAACAAACAAACAAATTAAAAGAAATAAAAATAATAAGGTGAAAATGATGGTGAAGATGAGAATGATGGTGAAGTTTGAGAAACAAGAGGGGGTTCCATGACAGTCGGGTCAACAGGAGGGTCAAGTGATGGAGAGTCATTTTCAGTTGAAGGTGGAGTCAAGGATTCGAATTGTTTAGTAATAGCGTCAAATTTGCAAAGTTAAGTTTAAGAAATAAAAATTTAATTAAAAATTATACCTCTTTAAGTTATCTAGAATAAAAATATTAAAGTGATGAATGTAAGTGAAGTGTTAAATGTAGGTCTAAATATAATCCAGATAAGTTGAAACACTAGATGAAGTGTTGTTTTAGAATTTGGAAGATATGAAAAGGATGAATAAATATAGAGTTAAGAACGAAAGAGAAAGCAATGAAATCAAAAGGGAATGGACAAGGCGCAGTAAAGGTGAAGAAAAGAGAAAGAGAACTTTTACGTTGGGCGCCAAAATGTCGTGAAGCGACAATTAAGAACAAAAAAGAACCTAACCTAGTAACAGCAAAACAACAAAAATAGAACAAAAACAAATAATATATTTAAGATTTAAAAGATATTTACAATTTTATATAACAAAATGGAGTATGAAGATGAGGATGGATGTCGTGATTTACAAATTATTTAAAAAAATAAATAAAAAAAAAGATTAGTGTCGAAGCTGAGCCCGAAGATCCAAGGTGTACAGCAAGTGCTCTCAGCGCCTGGAACGAGCACGCACGGCGTAGGTGAGAAGGCGTGGGCGTCTCTAGGTGACGACCTCAGGTGAATGCGGTGGTTTGCAAGATCCGGCGATTTCAGGCAAGACAGGGGCTTGCAGGATCCTCAGCGACTTCAGACAGGACAGAGGCCTGCAGGATCCGGTGACTTCAGGCGGGACAGAGGTTTGCAGGATCCGGCGACTTCAGGCAGAGCAGAGACTTGTAGGATCCCGGCAACTTCAGGCAGAGCAAAGGCTTGTAGGATCTGGCGACTTCAGGCAAAGCAGAGGTTTGCAGGGTCCAGCTGCTTCAGGCAGGACAGAGGCTTGCAGGATCCCGGGGCAGTGCGGCCCCGGGATAAGGCCTTTAGGAGATGCTTCGAATTCGAGAACTGAAGCGAGACTGAATTTCTTCAC